ACCTGGGCTTGGGCTTGGGTCCAAAGCAGACAAAAACATTCCCTAGTAAATCCCGTAATCGCTAAAAAATAAATGAAAAAAAATAATAAAAAAAAAGCTGTGTAAGGTTTCGAAAAAAGAAAAACAAACGAAATCAATCTTGGGACAGGAGCCAATCTCCTGTTGGGAATTAAAATAGTGCCGCTGATTCATCTAAACGCAACCCTCGTGCGAACAAGAAAACATAGCGCTGAGGTCTCGGTCCTTTTCCTTCTTTGGCTTCTTTGGTTTTGGCTTATCATCGTCTGAGATACTTCTGTGAAGTCCCCTGGGCTTTCTCTGACCGGTAGAAACTCACATTGCCCATACAATAAGTGATTTTCCAAAGAATAGTGACGCCTTTAAAATGTTGAGTACACGGTTCTATGCTGCCGTCTCGCTGTGTCCACGGCATGAAATTTTGTTAAAGAAAAAAAAAAACAGTGGACAAGAAAAGAAACTCTTTTTCTCTTATTGAAGTTATACTCGTGCTCTACAGTCTAGTTTACCACCTATTACTTATCCTTCGTGGGAATTAACCTTAAAAAACAAAAACAACAACCAAATTAAAAAAACACTATCCATTTGTACAGCGGAAACTTGTGTCATTTTATTACATTTTCATTTGGTCTTTTAGTTCCAGATTATTCACAGCCGCTCAGTTTTGAGTGCCAGTTTTCCTCAGTGGACTTCACAGAAGTATCTCAGACGGTCGATAAGCCAAAACTAGTGGAATAGGATCGAATTCTCGAAGTATTTAAACTGCTGTCCAAGTTCACTCTTGTACTGCTTGTATTCGTCATTGCAACCGCAAGTTCAAAAGTTGAAAATTTCACGCAAGTACCGTTGATGTATTCAGTTCTCAAAACTTGCCGTTTGAATCGCCCCAAAATTTTATTTCATAAATTGAAAGAATAAGGATTGCTCTTTCTCTGGAATAGCATTCGCACGACGAAAGCCATGTACCAGGAAGGGTTTTTTGCCGTTGAAAAATGGCAAAATTGATAGTCGCGATGAAACTGTTTTAGAGGGTAAATTTGAAAAAAAATTAAAAATTCAGATTGGAATCTTTTGAAATTACAACAACGTTTTCATACAAAGAAAGGGTCATAAAATCATCTTCTATCGCAATAGTCATGGCATTTGATTCTGTTTCTTTTCACTACGCGAGGATGCGAAGCACATTTTTCGGTGGTTTAAGGGCCTCTCGGAGGTGAAAATTCAAAGAAATTATTTTTTTTGGAAAATATCAATCGCAAGAAACTGAATCTTACATTTTCTGAACTAGCTCCATAAGGGCTTTAATGTGACAAAGTATGGGAGAGTTCAATTTTTCCATCTTGCACACCTATCGTGGTATTTACAGAAAGTCGCTCTTAATTAGTCATATGTAACCATGACAGAGATTGTTGTGTTCATAATTTAATTAAACGTAAATCGCTGAAAATTGTCGAGTTGCTGAGTAAACTCTAACAGAAAAAATTGAATATTTGTTGCTGAAATAAAAGTACACTTGTGAACCACTACCCTCTCTACAAATCCTCTTTACTTACCCCACAGCATTTCTTATTACACCTGTGTCGTCCACACTTTCTCTTCTTGTTACAGCGTTGGTCACAGGTATATTCTTTTTTTTTTCGTAAAAAGGGAGAAAATAAGAATCTTGTGAGATCTAATATTGTTGAGCATTCATCTAGATTATGGTGATACCTGCAATAAACTTCGGGTATTGTTCAAGTTCAAGTCGCAGACTGCACATTAAACAAAACTCAATATGAAGCTTCCAAGAATATCTAGAGTGTGTAGTCATCATAACAAACTTACCTTCAGAGTTTAAATCTGAGCAAAGGATCTCCTGTCAGAGATAAAACAACACATCCAGAATGTTATACAGGGAAGACAGTTGCATCTCATCACAACATTCACCTTGGGGAGAAAGGGAATTGTCTGTTGCAGTGAAGTGGCAAGTTTAGAGGAGGTAGGGATGTAATGACTTCTGTTTCTTCAATGTTTTGAACAATTTTATCCATAAAATTTCTTTCTGCAGTATATGAGTGCTGTGGGTTGATTGCTTTCTCCATTTTAGATTTTTCAAGCTATTTTTATTTATATATTTCTAGTTTGTCTTGTATTTATCAATGATGACCTGAAACAAAGTAACAACATCCAAAATGGCATTTCAAAGTTGTCCATCAAGAAACATTTTAGCCATGAAATATTTGAACAAATATATTCAATGGAAAAGACACAGTGAGCACATACTTTTTACAACATTCTCTTTCAGAATGGAAGACAAATTTATTTCAAAATAAAGCAGACAAGAGTTATCTGCTTGAGCAAGCTGTCACGCATTTCGAAGCTCCATTCACCATTTGATGACTATCCTTATTATGAGAAAATGTTTGCCCATCATGATCCCAAAATTCAAGGATATTTTGAACAGGTATTGAACAAGCCTTTAAGAGCCACTGACCATAAATACCGAGAATCCACAAACAGCTGCAAAATTTCGTAATTCATTTTATTTTTTCTACAGGACCCTTTTAATGAACCTTTCTCGAAAATTATATCAAAAAGTTCTATCGCGCTTTTTTTTCCTCCCATCTTTCAGGAATGTACCAAATACATGAACTCTTGCGTGACAACGAATTAACGGCTGGACGCGCCGCCTCTGGCGGGCCAAGAAAGAAACTTTGAGGAATCAAACTACAAGGATAAAGCTTGAAGATATATATTTTGATTCGTAAATATATCAAACAAGACCTTTTTAAACGCCTTTAAATGGGTCGTGACAGCTGTTCAGCGGTTCGCATTGCAATTTTGACAAAATAGCCCAAACTCTTTTTCCCACCAATCACGTAGCTCCTTTTTCTACCTTTAAAAGCACACACAACCAACAGCTCCGACGAAGGGCTAACGCTCGAAACGTCAGCTTTTATAATCGTAACGGTGGCCAATTTACCATTTCAACTTTCTTGATATATTCAAATTATTTCGTTACCCCCACCGACGCAGCCCCAAACAGTTTCTTTAGAAACTATCAGCCTTTATT